TTCTTGGCTTCACTCTCTCCGCCCCGATGCGCCTGCTTGCCGCCATCACTGCCAGCCTCTCCCTCCCTCCCTTTGGGTGGCCTGCCATGCCGCCAGGCACTGAGCGGTGCCCACAGCTTCCCCATCATGGTGGCGGCAGCGCCCCCTCTTGGGGGGGCGCTCAGATCACGGGTCGGCACCCTCGAGATTGCGCCCTAGGCGAGAGTCTAAAATTTGATAATGATGGGCCGGCCCTGAGCATGGTGCTTGGTATTCCTCATGCTAAGTACTGAGTAGTTTGCCACAGGAAGTCTTTAGGCCACATATTACATAGCTTATTATTATCATTATTGAAGTTATATGTATGGAGAAGAAGAAGAAAGAAACAGGTCTACAGCGGATATAAATACACATAAATCAGTGTTCATTATCCATCTGCTAAATCATCTGCTGCCAGATAGCTATGTTTTTAAAGGTTTCCGTTTCAAATAAGTAGTCAGTCTAATTACTGAGAACATATTGTTCAGTTTGTGTAACTGTTCTTTTTTGCTAAAGGAGGAATTTTTCCTCCAGTATCTGGTATAGACCATACAAGCAGTTGTGGCAGCATATAAAACTACTTTTGGTGAGAAGGGGGGGGGGGTTATTTATGCATTACATTTCTAGGTGTTCTAAAATGAATATGACAAATATGTACTTTCAAGTGTAATGCTATGTAGGTATGCTCATCTGGAAGCTCACACTGACCGCCACTTCCCTTCTGTGTGCACTTTTGGTGGTCAGGTTTGCCCCTCTGTACTGTGTGAAACAGTTTTAAGAAGTAGATCTCCAGATATCCAACAAGCTGCACACTCTTGTAATAAGTTCACTGTTGAGCTCTGACTTGCCCATTGAGAATCATTAATCCCAGATCACATGGCATCACCAAGTGCCCAATAACCATTTGCTGTGCAAGATTTAAAATGTGGTTAATTGATTTAAAAAATCCATTACTGAAGAAGAGTGAAGTGGAAGATAAAGGAGCAGATAAGTTTCTTTGTATGTTTGGATGCAGTCTTCATATGTTTGGACCTTTGTAGGGTGTTTGATGAAACTTTTTCTAGTGCAGTATTATAGTTTCAGAGCTAGTCAGACTGTGGCTTGGAACTGCAGAACTGATCTCTTGTTCCTGGAGACTATAGGATGTTACCATCCTGAATCAAATTGAACTGAATGGACTTAGGAGGGTGTAGCCCTGCTGCCGATGGCACTGTGTGTGTCTCAGGTACAAGCCATCATCTCAGTGCCATGTGGTAAGCATCTTTTATTAAATTAAGTGAATCTAAGAGACAGCTCATGAAATGTCCTCTGTTTAGAGGAACAAAAATTCCATTCAGCGAGCCCAGAGATAGCTCTTTGGGTCCTTGTCCATGTGAAGGCCCAAATTTTCATTTGTGGTCTCTATGCATCACACCTATGGTTGAGGCGCCTGCTCCAACTCCGATTCGGGAAACTTCTATCAAGCTCAAAAGTTGTTGTGAGCTGCTCTGGACCTGGCTGCTGCAGCAGAACACTCCAGGAGCTGCTCCAGGCTCAGAGCAGCTCTTAGGCACAGTTGCTGTCGCCAGTACACTAAAGGTGGGTGTTGTGGCCTGGAACAGCTATGGGGAGATTCCCCCTACAAGTCTCCCCCCCCACACACACTGAGCCTTAAGGGAAAATGAAACTTGGGGGGAGGAATTCTCCCCTTGCAAGTATTGCGGTGCCCCACTTGTTCCATATCTATTTGCTAATGTTATTCAAGAAGCTAGTCATCATAGTATTAAAGACTGTAGTTCTGTGTCTCCATTTGTTTTAAGGAAAGTGCTGAGGGTTGGCTAGTTTTTTATTACAATTAAGCTTTAGAAAAGAAATCAGCCAAAAATAAAAGGAACAATGTATCCTATAGTTGGCTGATAAAACATAGAAATGTAAAGGAATGCGTATCAGAATCCCCCACCACACCCTTTTTGAAATTTTTCAGACCTTGTTTTGAGAGTTTATTCTGACATATGGTACCTAGCATGGTAAAGGTAAAGGTTCCCTTGCTCGAAAGCCAGTCGAATCCGACTCTAGGGTTGCGTGCTCATCTCCGTTTCAAAGCTGAAGAGCCAGTGCTGTCCGAAGACGTTTCCGTGGTCATGTGGCCGGCATGACTAAACACCAAGGCGCACGGAACGCTGTTACCTTCCCACCAAAGTGGTACCTATTTATCTACTTGCAATTTCTTGCTTTCAAACTGCTGGGTTGGCAGGAGCTGGAACTAGAGACGGGAGCTCACTCCATCTTGCGGCACCCGGGTCTTGAACTGCTGAACTAGTGACCTTCCACAGCCTGCAGTTCAGCGTCTTAACCACTTGAGCCACCTAGCATGGGCCCTGGGGTAACTCAGTTCAGCTACTACTGTCTTATTGTTTTCTAGAAGAATGACATCTTGTAACAGGCATTTATCTTCATTGTAAAATGATTATAAAGAGGATTGCAGTCATGGATTTGACTTGCATTGATATATTTATGCCCAGAAGATTAATGAGATTATGATGTACTCATAATGCAGCCATGCACCCCCTGGAGTGTTTACTACTTAATGTTATATGTATGAGTGTAAGCACTTTCACAGCAGAGGAATCATGAGTAAAATACAATTAGAAAGGAACAATTGCCTAAAACTGTTACAGAGAAAAACATGACCATTTCTTTTTCATCTGGAAAGCAATTTCTATACTTCAGCTTTTATTTTATTGCAGTGATTTCAGTGATCTAAGGGGCTGTCTATGTGTATTCACAAAAAGACAGGGCAGGATTTTTGAGGTATCTTCCTATAAACTACACACCAAATGCACATACAGTTTCCATGTGGTCAGCATAATTTCATTTGAAGTAAGAGGCAGAGGCTGCAATCCTAAGAAAACTTAGGAGTAAGATCCATTGAATAAGATGCAAGTAGACCTGTTTAGGATTGCTCACTGACACTGCAATCCTAAGCATGCTTATGAGGGTGCAGTTCCTGTTTAACTCAATGGGATTTACTTACAAGTATAGTTGCTTACGAACATGAAATTGAGCAAACTTCATAACATCTTAACCTTTACCATATTTAGCCTAAAAGGAAATATGATAATGAACATTTCTTGACTGATTCTAGCCATTTTGTGTGATATACTCACATGATTTTGTTGACCCTCTTTGCCTTTAACTTCAAACCAAGGTCCTTTTCTGAAGGTGATTGCTCTGCCTAATTATTTCACTATGATATGTTTTTAAGATCAAACTGAAATTCACAGCTTCAGTTATTCAACTTGAATGACTGATCCTTTAGGAGGCAACATTAATGGTTTCTCCTCCCCCCAATTTTTAATTATTTTCTGCTTCTCGCAATTTTAAATATACATCTGCAGAGACCAATAAGAAATGGGATCATTGATTATTTGGGAAATTACTGTTTCAGTTGCCTGACTCTAGGGGGTGATAATGTTTATCTCTTTGCTGTTAAAAACTTCACCTGGTAATTTCTGCATAGCAGCATAAATTTGGCCAGCACTGTTTTTAATTTGCTCTCTTGGCAGCCGTAAGTATTGTCCTTCCCAGCTACCATCCAGAGACTAGAGAATGGCCTTATAGTACCTGGTGTAATTCTTGTGCTGAAACTAAGCAAGTTGAGTCCTGAGCAATGCCTGGATAAAAACCAAATGTGCAGTGCTCTCTCCCTAGGGGGAAGGAAATGCATGCACTCGGAAGCTTATATCTTGAATAAAACTTTGTTGGTCTTAAAGGTGTCTCTGGACTCGAACTTTGTTCTACTGCACTGGTTTGGCTTTTCCTCGAAATGAAGTTGAAGCCAGACTCTATGTTAAACATCCTGTGAAATAACCTATGGAAAGTAAAATACCTGTGGAAAGTAATAATCTGTGGAAAGCGAATTGTGGATTTGTATAATTTTGGATTCATAATTCATGTATTTATATTTGTGATACTTATTGTACACTTTCAGTACAATTATTTTGCATATGATAGCGACTTCCCCAGTTGGTATTTATTGTTTCCAGGTGAAAGCCGTAGTGAATGTCAGTATATCTAAATGGGATTCCAGGCATCTCAATGAGATCGCTATGGCACCGATTTGTAGTCCCGCTTCAGTGCCATAGCTCTCCCAATAGAATGGTTTTTATTTTATTTTTTTTTAAAAAACCCTCTCAAGGAGATAGTGCGCATGGGGGGGAAATGGCGGGAAAAGAAAGCGGCATGGTTTGAAATGACACACCAGAGACGGCTCCTTACTGGAAGGGAACGGCAGTGTGAAACAGCCGTCCTTGCACCGGTTTATTCCATGACGGTACAATAACAGCTTTAAAAACGTCATGTGAGATTCCACATAGTCTAGAACTCACATTCAGTTAATATGGACTACCAGAACTATTGGGCATCACAGTCATCCTGTATGTCAAATTCATTTTAGAGTACACTTGTCCCCCTCCTTTGCCAAGTGCTGCACACTGCAATGGAAGAGCAGGCATGTGTCTGAGGGTGCCATAGGAACTGTCTTTCAGAAAACTTTGGCCACTCTTCATCACCTTTCTCACTGAAGAGCCCCTCCTAAGCTTCCTCAGCACAGAGCTTGAGTCCCTGGCATCTCCAGTTAAAAGATCTTAGACTTCGAAGAGCTGCTGACAGTCAGAGTAGGTAGTACTGAATTAGATGAACCAGTAGTATAACTTGGTGTCTGGTGGCTTCATGTGTGTTCCAGACGTTTGGAAATCACTGCATCACTTCATTTGCAGTTAAGGTAGTCTAAAAACAGATGTGATGTTGTAATGGAAGAGGATGAAGACAAGAATGTAATAGAAAACACAGGTTTTGACAATCCTCAGTCCATAAATTTCTTCACATTCTGTACTTAAAATAGCATCATTCTGCAGTGCAGTAACTTAAATGGCTAAATATAATAACATAATACATTAAACTGCCCGGCCTTTCATAAAGGATAACTTTGTTCTTGATTGCAGTTGTATGGAAGAAGAGCACCTTGGGAGGACCCTGCAAAATGGGTAATGGACACTTATCCATGGGCAGCTACCCCACAACACCATGAATGGCCTCCTTTGCTGCAACTGCGGCCAGAAGACGTTGGATTTGATGGGTACTCCATGCCACGGGAAGGTTCAACCAGCAAGCAAGTTCCACCCAGTGATGCTGAAGGAGATCCTCTGGTGAGGCTTGTCTTCTACAGTCTCACAGCTAATTAACATTATTTGCAAGTTGTTTTATCTGACAGTTAAATGTGAAATCGGAAGCCAGTATTTCTGGGTTGAATCTGTATGCATTTAGCCATCTGTGTTAGGAACTAAGAATTATGTTATGCTTATGTTGCACTGTGCTTTGCTTGTCCTATCATGCTCACCTTAGGCATATTTTGGAATAAGCATCACTATTGGAAAAGGAGAGTGGGGATGGAAAACAACAATGGTTACACTTCGTGGCCACAGTCTAATCTTATTTAGCTTTCTTCATTTATATCCTACATTTCTCCCCAGTGGGGATCCAAAGTGGCTTACAAATCTCCCCTTCTCCATTTTATCCTCACAAAAAACTCAATGAGGTAAGTTAACCTGAGTGGGTGTGTGACTGGCCCAAGGTCACCCAACAAGCTTCCATGGCAAAGTGAGGGTTCAAATCAGGATCTCTCAGATCTTAGTCAAATACTCTAACCGCTGGTTCTCAAGGCATCGTATATAATAACTGATTACATACACGGAACAGTCACTCAGCCTGGCTAGCACGGAAAGGATAAGGACAGGGAGACAGACTTGCTACAAATCACAACATTATAGTCTGCATAGAAAGGCTATGCCTTGTGTATGTTTTTCTAAGTCAATACACTGCAATAGCATTGCAGTAGCTGCTTTTCCATGGGATCATCCTGTGATACTTACATGAAGGCTTACTACATGAAGGCTTACTAGAATATATGCTTGGCTGATTGCATTTGTTCTAGAAGATGAAGATTCTGTGGAGAAACCTACACAACTGGCCCCAAGCATTTAGTTGCCAGTCTTCAACCAGTACAGCCATGCTGTGAAATAAGCCTATGCAAAAAAGGCCTCACAGTGTCCCAAATTAGTATTTAAGGGGAACCAAAGGAGGGTGTTGTGTTAGCCCCACATCTTTGGCCACCCTTCTCCAACTCCTCTCACTAGTCTAAAGCAAGGGTTACCCAGACTTTTTGAGCCTGCAAGCACATCTGGAATTTTGAGGCAGAGTGGTGGGTGCCACTACAAAATGGCTGCCACAGGAGATTGTGCCAAACACACACACATACATACATACAAAATGGAGGATAGGAAATAGGCAAAGGGATTATAAACACACACTCACTAGCACATACATACACACAGAAGAAGCCAAGGGAGGAATAACATGCACACAGAACAAGATAGCCAGTCGTAGAAAGGAAGGATAAAATCCACAAGGCGAAGACACCCAAGGGCAGAAGGGTTGCTCCACTGTTCCCTAACCACCACCACCACCACTGCCTCACAGCTGATCCCATTTACAGGATCCGGGATCCTTCTCCAGTCAGTGGTTAGGAGGATCCAAGTGAAAAGCCCTTGCTGGTTCTGCCTTCACAACTGACTTGCCTCCTGTGCTGAATCACAGTTTTGGGTGCTCAGGAAGTATCTGTGATCACCATGGTGCCCATGGACATCACATTGGGAAACCCTGGTCTAGAGCCTCCGTATCAGCCCCTTCCTGGCTCTTTTAGAGAGAGTGTGGCAAACTGCATGCTTTTCCTTCTTGCAAGAGGTTGGGAGTCACAGTTTTTCTCTGCCCCTGCATTTCACCCAGCCACTTGGGGACTCTGCCAATCAACTGTAGTAGTGGGGGCTCTTTAAGGGTGAACTTCCCCATGGCAGTATTTTTTTGCTACCTGCCCACAGCAGCCACCAGACATTCAGTGTATCATCATTTTGTGTTCTGTAGCAACTCTTGAAGGATTCACCTTGCAAGTTTTGTGCGTAATTATGCTGCCTTAAAAGTGTTGGAAGTGCATTAGGTTTTGATACTATCATATTGCATTAAAAATCTTACAAAACACATGGTAGTACTTATAGCTCACTGTGTGCTGGATATTATTTAGACAGCCACTTCCATACTAATCATACCTGCAGAAGGCAATCACCACAGTAGGGGCCAGGATGGGTAATGTGGATCAACCAAGATGATTAGAGGGTTGAAGCACCTTCCCTATGAGGAAAGGCTGAAGAGCCTGGGACTTTTCAGTTTAGAAAAGAGGGGGGGATATGATAGAGGCTCATAAAATTATGCATGGGGTGGAGTGAGTTGACGAGTACTTTTTCTCCCTCTCCTGAGTGCATCCAGTGAAGCTGATGAGCTGTAGGTTCAGGACAGACAAAAGGAAATACTACTTTACACAGAGAGTTATTAAAATGTGAGATTCACTGCCAGAGGATGTAGTGGCATTCTGCCCATGGCCACAGGAATAAACAACTTTCAAATGGGATTAGCTAGATTCATGGAGGATAAGGCTATCAATGGCTAGTAGCCATGGTGACTGAGGGGAGCCTCCACATTCAGAGGCACTAAACCTCTGAATCCCAGAGCCAGAAGGCAACATCAGGGGAAGGCCTTGACCTCTATGCCCTGCTGTTGGCCGTCTAGAGGAACTGGGTGGCCACTGTGTGAGGCAGGATGCTGGACTAGATGGACCACTGATCTGATCCAGCAGGGCTTTTCTTATGTTTTTAAGTTCCTTAAGTAAGATTTACTTTTTTGACATAAACTAGGACCACTGGATTTTCATAAGCAGTCCAACTTGTGTTGGCTGATACATCTACACAACCTAGTTAAAATTCATTCCCTGCTGTACAGAGAGACTGCAAAAGTCAACTCATGTAGGAAAACCTGTTTGAAGAATCCACCCTTTTCCTAGTAATTTTACTCCTTTGGGCTACTGAATATGCTGCTATCATGGAATTTATGTAATATGTGAACTCTGTTTGTTAGGAGATGTTCAGTTACTGAGGAAATGCACGTGCAAACGGGACTTTCCAATAAAGCTTCTGGCCCTTCCTTATTTACTCAGATGAACATGCTGATGCGATTGCAAGAGGCAGCCAACTACTCGAGCCCCCAGAGCTACGACAGTGACTCCAACAGCAATAGCCATCACGATGACATCCTTGACTCATCCCTGGAATCAACATTGTGATACAAGCCCAGCAGAAATGATTGCTTCCAGCCTTGCTTAGAAAATCCAATTGCCAACTCATGAGGGATAAATGGTCTTTTGTCCAGATGGACATCTCAGTATTAAAGCTGCAAGAACAATACAAACTTATTCCACCCACACCCCACATACCCCAGTCAGATTCATGTATGGGTGCAGGCAACCCAGTTGATGTTTTTGTATTGTGCTTTTGTTGTTATTATTATTATTATTATTTTCCTTTCTTGATAATAAGAACTGCACTACTTTATTTTTGTTCTTTTGATGTTGCTGTGAGCTCACATGCCTAAGACACTGAATACATGTATTTTTTCGTACAAACAATATTAGTCCTAGTAATTTGGGGGTGAGGGGAAAAGAAAGGAAAACGCTTGCCTTCAGAGCAAAAAACAAAATAGCATTTGTGCCATGTACTGTTGAGAAAGGAAGGAAAGGGGGTGGATCTTGCCTATGCTGCTTCTGACCAAACTCATTCAGCCATGGCTGAATTTTTTGTAAGCCATCTTTGCAGGCCAACCTTAGCTACAGATAGTACTGGTGCTATAACAGAACTGCTTGCCTTGGTAATAAAGTTACATAGAAGGCAAAGAACTGCAATGCAGGGAAATTAGAAATATTCAGATATGTTCTTCTTGCAACCTTTGGATCCTGTCTATACTTCAGAGATTTATTTTATTTGTTAGACACCCAGCCCCTTTTCAAACTGCCTTTGTATTCTGTTTTAGTAACTGGATGCTGATGGATTTTTTCTGTCATTTCAGACAGACCCATTTTAGTAACTGGTTGCTAGCAGAATTTATCTACCTGTTCATACAAACCCGCTTGCATCAGGTTAGCAAAGTGTGGTTACCGCTCTTGAGGGAAACTGCTTTTTTCTATTTTCAACCCCTTTGTTGCTGTTCTGAATCACTGGTATGCTGTCCATAGTGCTTTCCACAATGCCGCTTTTTACGCCACCCATTTTTGCCACACAATCTTCCTCAGACTTTTTTTTAATGTTCTAAGATGAATGCTAGAGTGCTAAACTGCTAAAGCACTGAAGTGCTATAGCAGCACCATTGAGATGTATTGGCTCCATTGTGTCAATGCATCTCAATGGCGCCACAGTAGCACTTCAGTGCTATAGTGGTTTAATGCTATAGTGCTCACCCTAGAACGTTTTTTAAAAGCCCAAGGAAGATCACGCGGCAAAAAAGGACAGGAGGGGGGGGGGCGTGGCACTGTTTGAAATAGCCATAGCATTTCAGAGACAGCTTGTTAATGGAAGGAAATTTGCTGTATAAAACCCCCATCCCTGTATCGCTTTACTCACAATTGGGCCAACAACGAATAACATCCAGTTTAGAATGGTAATGTGAAAAGGGCCCCAGTGTAGCTTCAGTCCACAGAATACTGTTAGTGTTCATCCTTCACTGAAACAAAATGAAGACTGAGCTACTGCAGATGTTTGTGGATTTGGACATGCTACCCACTTTCTGCTTTCATTTTTGCTGTAGCAGTTTCCATTGCTGAAGAGACAAGCCTCTTTTAAAGCTGCACAATTGCTTAGCAGTGGACCTGATACCTCAAAAAGTGAAAACAGATGTCCAGCTAAGTGTGTAATTCTTTTTCCTGCATTCATACTCTTTCTTGGGAAAGAGCTGAATTGGGATACAAAAACCAATTAACTTAAAATTTTGTAAAAATGTTGATTGTTACACCGTGGGTCAAAAACCTAATTAAAAAAAAAATTAAGTGACAGTGGTCGGGATCCAAATGGCTACTTACCTTGTCAATTTTGTACTCCCCCCATTCCTCTGAATAGCTAATCCCATGCCATGTGGCAGTATTTTTGAAACTGTCTCAATTTCCAGAATGGTTTGCAACAGGGCATGGAAGGTTGCTGTACAGGGAGGGTCTAACGGTGCCATTCTAAGCAGAGTTACACTCTTATAAGCTTTTGCCTTCAATGGATGCAGACCAGTGTGTAACTCTGTTTAGAATGGCATTGTAAAGTTCCTTGGGATTCACTGAACTACCAGTAGTATCATGGATATTTGGGACCTGGCAAGTCTCTCTCCAGGTCAGCCACAGAGGCTGCTTCTACCTAGATAGTGATATACAGTACACAAATTAAGTCCTTTGCTTGCCTCGTATTATGTACCACCTTAGAAGATGCTAGGGTTGCCAAGTGCTTACCTGTTCTGGAGCGAGGGAGTCCAGCCTTGCTCCAGGAGTCTTTGTGCGCGCGCACCCCGCAAGCACATCACACAGAAGTGACGCAAGGACGTTGGTGGCGGGGCCACAATCATCCGAGGGAAAATCATAGAGTTTTCCCTCAGATGATTGTGGCCCTGCCCCCAACGTCCCTGACGTGCTTGCGTCACTTCCGTGTGATGTGCTTTGGGGGTGGGGTTCCCCCCGGGGGCCCGATCCGGCGGCGGTGGGGAACGGGCCTCCCGGGCGGGGGTTTCCCCGCCCCCCGGGGGGACTTGACATCCCATGAAGATGCATTTGTTATCCCCACGTCTCCTCCTCCTCAAACTCTGAATCTTGTGAAATAAATTTGGGACTACGTGCTTTTCTTTTTTGAAAAAGCTAATTTGATATCATACTTGAATTAAACCGGTCTTTGAGTCTAGGAGAATTGTATTTATAAAGATTTTCAATTTGAAAAGATCCCATTTTTAAGCCATGGCCAAGCAGCAAAACCCGATTCTCATCTTCTCCTCCCTCTTCTTCTCTCCAAACGCACAGAATAAAAGTTAATTGTTTAAGCTTGGTGCTTCTGCTGAGAAACAAGGACACCTCACAAAGCATTGCACTCTTTTTTTCCCCTTAATAAATAGTTGGAACAGAGACAACAGCAACCAATCAGCTGTCTCAAGCTGTACCTCAGCTTAGAGGCACAGTCCTCAACAGTGTCACACACAAGCAAGCCTTTTCAGCTATCTTTGGGTGCTGATTTTTTAAAGCGATGCCTTACTTACTTTCTACTAATTGTGTTAGAATTCCATTAGTGCTGTATATGATGGGTTTTCTTATTTAAACAAAACAGGGCTAAAGATGTCATCTCTTGGAATATAATAGTGTGAGTTGCTGTGAATATTGTTTGTAATGAGATCTGATCTTTCTTTTGGTTTTTTTTTAAAATGTGACAATAACTAAAGTAAGGGATGGAAAGAGAGCTTTTCTTTTTAGCATGTCCATATCAGCCTGCAGCAGAATTATTCATTGGACAGCTGTTGAGCCAATGCAGGAAAAATAAACCTTTTTCTATGATACTGCATGACATTGTTACTGAACGGAAAGAAAGTGAGAGTCTTTGGGTAGGTTTTTAAACATGCAGGCAAAATATTTGCTGCATTTTTTAAAGGTGTGTTCATCTTTTGTGGTTCTAATATAATACAACAGACACATGGTTGTGATGCTACCAGGACTCATTTACTGAGCAGGTAGTTTATAATACCTCATAACTTTCTGCTTTCAGTGAGACGAGTGAAATTTAACCTGTTGTCTTTCGTCTGTTGAGAGCTGGTCATGATCTGCTGCCGTTACTTTTTTCTCGTTGATGCTCTTTTGAAATAACTTGGTGATTTCAAAAGAAAATTTCTGAAGACGAGTGAAATTTAACCTGTTGTCTTTCATCTGCTGAGAGCTGGTCATGAATCTGCGGCCGTTACTTTTTTCTCATTGATGCTCTTTTGAAATAACTCAGTGATTTCAAAAGAAAATTTCTGGTTGCTCAAATGGATGAACTGTTTTAATCAGAAGTATATTTGACTGTTTTCTGTTAGTAAAATAGAAGAAGGTTACCCAACTAATCTTCTTCTAATTTAATTATTGAAAATAAGAAGGTCCCTGTTGGATCAGACAATGGTCCAGCACTTGTTTCCCAGAGCAGCTACCAGATACCCAGAAGGCCCATAACAGAATCATAAAGACTGACCCCCTCCAATGCCCCCCCCCAAAACTGACATTCAGAAACAGAGGTCCCATTTAGGTATTCTGCCTGATAGCTACTGAGGGACCTATCCTCCCATTAATTTGTCTAGTCCACTCTAAAAGCCAACTAATTTGCCACATTGATTCCCAAATCAAGGTAATAAAGCTAAAGGGGCATGAGGTTCAGCACTCCAAAGCTTCTGCTTCCCAGCACTGATCATGGAGCACAAGTTTGAAAGGCTTCCTAGATCAAAAATTATCTTCATGTGGAAAGATAGACTGTCATGGGGACCTCTCCCTGGCATGCTAAATTTCTACCAGCTAGGAATTTTTGCTTCAATAGCATTCAACTATGAGATTCACCCACTACTTGCTCTCTGATGTGGTACAGTCTGAGAGGGTTGTACCACTTTTTAAACAAAATACTTGTACAGGTTTATTACACCAACACAGAACAAAATCTGAACTTCATCCGACAATATGCTTTCCGTCATAGGAGTATGTTTGTATTTTCTCAATAAAAGAAAACTATGTTCCTGCTGTCAAACTTTCCTTTAAAAATATACCTGAAATTCTTTCAATTGAAATATAATTGTCTTATATATTCTTCCATGGGAACAATTCCAAAAACCGTGAAGTGGGAAAAGACCATTTGCTTTGGAGCAAACCCCTCAGTGTAGACCTTAGTGGGACTGGTTCTTAAATTGCTTGGTTTTAACAGTTTGCAATTTGGACCTCATGGATGTTGTGATGTAGGAAACCTGATGTCAGTGGAACTGAGGAAGTCTTAGGAGGTTGTAATACTTCCTTCATGGCTTCAGAGTCTTGAAGACTGACTGAAGATATAACCAGACTCATATGATTGGTAGCAACTACATACGATCTCTGTCTGGAGGCTAGAAGAATGAGTGCTATCTAAACAAGGTATTCCCAATGTAATGCTGGGGGAACATCTGCTTACATACATGTATTTTCTCTAATGCTAAATTTAGGAAACAATTACCTCCAAACACATGCACACATTTCCCCTTTATTCTGGTGGTAGAAAGCAAATGGATAAGCAGTCTTCAAGCGTGTGTCCCAAGGGCTAAATCATACAACTGAATCACTGCTGTCAGACTTTGTTGTATCTATTTGGATCCAATTTATCAGAGTTCATATGTATTTTCTAAGCAGGTGGTCCCCACCACAAGTTAATATGTGTGAATGCGTAACTCTTAAAAACTCAATACCTAAATGAGCATTCACTTGAGTTCCAGAAACATACAGCATGAGGTTCATGAAGAAATATTACATATTTGCCTTGATTCAGCGATTTCCTTGCAGATGTCCTTATAAAAGATGTCTAGTGATTCCTTGTAGATGTGTGCATTCTGATTTATGTAGATAGGTAAAAGACTCATCAGTTATTTCAAGGAACTGACAGTTCTACATGTGCAAAAAGATACCTATTTAGAACTGACATTTCCAAAAAAATGGTTGGGAAAATTTTCTTATGCCCTGTTTCTTCACAAAAGTGCAACTGGATTATGTATTGGCAGATATCAAGACACAGTTATTATTCACAGGAATAGTATGATTCAGAAAAATACCAACTGAAGTCTAAGTTGCCCTATCACCTTTCAATGGACTCTTGCAATTCAGAAGTATTGCTGAATCATGCCTTTTGAAATATTAACTACACTAAACTGAGGTTATATGAAAACTATGATCAGGATTCAGTATGTTTTTTCTGCCCTACACAGCAAAGGAGTTTATTCTCTCATAGACCCTAGTTT